CAGTGGGGGAGGGGTCATTCCAAGGTTGGAGACCAAAGTTAGGAGGCTAGACCCCAGAGCAGGGGCAGTCTGGGAGGGGGGACCCATGTATGGAAAGGCCGGAGGGAGGAGTGAGCTGAGGCACTCAAGGGGTTGGGAGGGTCACCCCCTGGGAGGAAGCCAGAGAGGCCCGACTTTAGGTTTTGGCCCAGAGACGGAGGAGGAGAAGCAGAGCAAAGGAGACAGAGAGGTTGGGGGAGATGGGAAGGCCGGTTTCCCAAAAGCCAGGGGGTTCATCCAGCATTTTCCTAGCGCTGGCTGAGTCCCTGTGCTTGGTGCCAAGACTTCAGAGCTTTAGAGCTCCTGTTCAGGGGTGCATCCTGGCATGGGATAGGTGATCTGTAAGTATCTGTTGAGCCAATGAGAGAACAGCCTCTCAGTATTCACCAGCAGGCGGAGGGGCTGAGTGGAGAGGGCAGAGGCTGGGGAGGCGTGGGACAGGGGCTGGAGACTGGGGGGAGCTGGGGTCCAGCTAGAGACTCGGCCTGACCGTGCCTTTCCTTTGGCCAGTTTGTGCCCTTCAGGGACTACGTGGACCGCACGGGCAACCACGTGCTGAGCATGGCACGCCTAGCCCGCGATGTGCTAGCCGAGATCCCTGACCAGCTTGTGTCCTACATGAAGGCACAGGGCATCCGCCCGCGCCCCCCGCCTGCGGCCCCGGAGCCCTCACCCCCACGGTCCCCAGCCCGCACCCCCCCTGCCTCCCCCCTGCACACACACATCTGAGCACTCTTCCTGAAGGCCCCTGGCCTGTGGCGGGCGGCTCCCTGGGTGGGGCAGTGGAAGCACAGCTGGGGTCCCCAGCCCCCCTTAAAATATGCCATGCCTAGCCTTTGTGTGTGCCTTTTGTGTGTGCCTGGGAGGCCAGCGGGGGACAGGGCCTCTGAAGACTCCTCTCTCATTTCCTGGCCTCAGGGCCCAAACCCGGGGAATTGGAGGGTATGGGTGGTGGAGATGAGGTTCCGGGCCCCTGCCCTTTTCATGTCCCCCTGACACCTGGTTCTAGCCCAGCCAGGAAGGGGTTAATGGTCAGGAGGATTGGGGTCCCCCTCAGCCCACCTGGGCAATCCCATCTGCTCCTCTGTGGCCCTGAAGCCTGAGCTGGGCCTCTCTCCTCCAGGGCCCTAGGCCCTCCCCTCCTCCTGTGCAGTCTACTCCTACACCTGGACCCTGGCCCTCCTCCCTCCCAGTATCTCCCCCATCCCTATTTCCAGTGAACCCTGTGAGGCTGATGGGTCTGCAGGGATGCCCGAACATGTGGCCCCTCCCAGGACACTTGCATGCCACGGGTGCCCAGTGGACCCATGAAGGGGAGGCTGTGTGGGGAGGCCATAGGCCACATAATGGGCTAGGAATGGGGGCTTTTCAGGCACAGAGTCCTTTCTGGTGCCTCTCAGGCCCAGAATGACACTGGTTTTAGATACACAGATCCACAGGCCTCTCCCTGGTGTGGGCCCACAGGCACCTTACACTTGACTCCTGGCTCCAGGCATCCCCTTCTCCTGCGGCCCAGGGCCCTTGGAGCCCAGTCCTCTGCTGCCCCCCTGGAGGCCTTGGAAGGAATAGTCCAGCCCCAGCACTCCCACACTGCCCCTCTCTCCCACAGGGATAGGAGATAGGAGTCCTGAGTTCAAGCCCTGCATACAGCCCCCGCCTGTGGGAACCCAAGGAAGGCCCTTCTGCCTTCTGGGACTCAGAAGTAGGGCAAGAGGGTTGACCAGATGGTCCCAGGTTGACCTTCAGCTCTGGTATCCTGAGAGTCCATTCATGCCATGCCCAGCTTCCCCCATCCCACTCCTCAGCAGTGTGACCCCTTACTCCAGGCCGTCTTGGCTCTTAAGGTCACCCTGTTCCATCCTGTCACCTCAAGTCCACCCTAGTCCTTCAGCCTTGGGCTCTGATGTCTGAGCCCGAGCCCCTGCCTCTGCTGTGGGGAAGGTGAGAAGGGTGATCTCACCCCCGGGCCCACCGAGCTGCCCAGCCTTTACCCACATGGGGAGCAAGTCGTGCATGTCAGCCCCTCCCGCAGCATGGGGCTCCTCAGCCCACTCCACATCCCATGTCTGGGTGGACACCAGGCCCCCTCCCTGTCCGCTGCCCCACACCACTTCCCTTCCTGTCATGCATGATGGTGGTGTTTCTACGCTGTCTGGTCCTGTGCCCGTCTCTGAGGCAGTCTCTTTGTGGAATTTGCCTTAAACTGAAGTAAACTTGGTTCTTTTAGTAAAGTTCCTTGTTTTCCTTTCTCCTGTGGAAAATAGCAAATGTATTGCTATTTGACAGGCTCCGGGTTCTCCTCACTCTCTCTCCCATTCTTTTGTTCGATAAGGATTTCCTGAGCAACTACGATGTACCAGGGCCTGTGCTGGTGACTCGGGATGCAGCAATGAACAAAACGCAGGCCCTGTCCCCACACAGAGCTTACAACAGACACACAAATAAGACAGGGGAAAACCCAGTAAGCACACAAACAAATAGGGATAACCTAATTTCAGGTGGTGGTAAGAGTTACAAAGACAAATAACAGAGAAGAAGGGGCTGGAGAGGGATAGGGTGGTATTTTAGATGAGGTGGTCACGGAGGGCCTCTTTGAGGAGGCGAAGGTTGAGATGAGCCCTAAGGAAATGAGAGAAGGAGGCGTGCTGGTATCCAGGGCAGGAGGGCTCCAAGTAGAAGGAACAGTGAGTGCAAAGGCCCTGAGGTAGGAGCATACTTCATGTCAAGGACAGCAGGGAGGCTTGTGCTGTTGGAGCTGTGTTAAGAGGGGCGGGGTGGGGGGATAATTCAGGAGATGAGATTAGGGAGGTGAAGAATCCAGAATGCGTAGAGCCCTGTAGGCCATGGTAAGGGCTTCAGCGTTACTCCGAGTGAAACAGAGCCAGCTAGGAGGTGAGAGAGGTAAGTAACATGATCAGATTATTCTCGAAAACAAGTGGGTCACTTTATTGCATTTGATCACTCATTGACTCATCGCTCCACAAGTATTTACCGAGCACCAGTGCCAGGCCCTGCTCAGGTTTGAAGGCACTGATTCACACACGCTTGCACCCTCTGAGAGTGACCCCTACTTTGGAGCAGTGAGCAAGGAAATCCTACCACCCTGGGCTACCGATGCCAAGCCCGTGGGAGGGGCCAGGGTCTGTGGGCACCAAAGGGGCGCTCCTGGCACAGCCTGGATGACTCACAGGCCATGCGCCCGGGATGAGTTCCTGCTCCTGTTCGATGGGACCGTTCCTCTTTCCTTGCAGGATTAGCGTGTGGCCACACTGCGGGGCCTCGAGATATGCCCACATGAAGTGTGTGATGTGCACAGACAGGAGGCACTTGAGCACAATAAACACCACCTCTCTCCTCCTGGTCCCTCTTCATATATAAGTCACTGTGACCATCAGAGCCCAGGATCACAGGGAAAGGGGACTTCTCCCTCCTCTGGGCAAGCTCACGGTCAGATTAGCCCTCCAGCCAGCCATTCCCAATCTGCACATCACAAGAAATTTGGTACTAATTATACCAAAGTTTGGGACTTATTTACTTCTTATGATTTTATAGTAAATTAGAGCTGATTCATGGCTGTCCCTATAATTAGATACCCCTCTGACTTGCATTCCGATACGCTTTGAGTGAGAACTGGGTGGGGTCATAGCTTGGGAAGAGGAAAGTTCCCAGAACCAGTAACCCATTTTGCCTCCCCTTGGGCACCTGTGGGAAAGCGTCGAGAGGAGATGCCCACCTGGCAGGAGAATCAAGTCTCAGAGCCGCTGCTGAGTGCATCTTTATTGTGCTTGACGCTGTGGCTTCTCTCCTGGCTTATTTCTCAAGGTGTGTTCCACAGAACACTGGTTCTCTTGCATGGATTTTGGGAGCCTGTCTCAGAGAACCCCAATGGCCTTTAGGGTATTCAAGGCTCTGATAAGTCCTGCAGCAAAGAGACTGGTTTAACTTGGTTCAACCCATTGTTTCCAAAGATTTTTGACCGTGGGGACAGTGTGTGTGTGTGTGTGTGTGTGCGCGCGTTTAGCTGTAACACTGTTACCAAGCAGAACATGTTGTCTTGGGACTTTAAGACAATCTCCCTGGTTCCCAGGCTAACACAGATTCTGAGGCCTGCTCCCAGGAGGCCAGAGGGAGGGCCTGGAGTTTGGGAACTTCTCAGAGGAGATGGGGTAGGAGAGGTGGAGACCTTCGGTTGCTCTGGAAAGAAGGAAGGGGCGTGCCACACTGGGAAGAGTAACCACAGAGAAGAAAGGAGGGCGTTCAGAAATTCACAGCTCCAAGGTTGACTTTGTATTCCCTTGTTGGGCTGAGAGGTATGTGTGTGACTGAGCTAGGGGAGGGCAGGCAAAGAAGGGAGAAGTCCCTGAAAGGCTCTCCTGGCCTCTGGGCCCCCACCCCAGCTGCAGCGGTCTCCTCCCCTCACCCCCATTCGCTCCCCAGGCCTTCGGGATTAAGGACCTGGGCTGTCATTCTCTGGGTCATTCCTCTACACACTTCTCTGCCTTTGGAATCCCTTTACCGACCTCTTGTGTCCTCACCTCAAATGTTCCTGAATTAATAAAAATAAAATGATGATAATAGTAAGAGTAATGACCAACACTCAAATGCACTTACGAAGCAGCAGGCATTCTTCTAAACACATTATATGTGTTACGTTTATCTTTATAACAACCCTATGAAGAAGGTGTGATCATTATCCCATTTTCCAGATGAGAGAAGAGTCATAGACAGGTGAAGGGACTTGTTCAAGGTCATACAACTAGGAAGTGGTAGAATCTATAAGGATCTGAGTCCCAAGGTGGAATGGGAGCATCAATCTAGTTGCCATTTTAGTTGCTGTGTCCCCTTGGCTGGGCCACCTGCCCTCTCTGGATCTCAGTCTCCCCACTGGTAAAATGGAGGGGACAGGCTGTAGCGTCCCTAAGGGTCTTCCCACCTCTCTTGACTCTCAGCCCTCTCTCCCATCAGCCTATCTTCTCAGATCCCCGCCAGACCCCGCAGGCCTCCTGGGGCCCTTTCCTGGAGGGGCTGGATGCCCCGGCCACACCCGCAGTGTGCCTGGCTGCCACTGGCCTTCGGAAGAGATCCCTGAGCCCCGCCTGGAAGTGGCGGGAGAGGTAGAAGCAGAGGTTGGGGCTGATGGCACAATTGGAGTAGGACAGGATGGTACAGAGGCTGGATGCCACGAAAGCCACCAGCATGGCAGGGAGGCCACCCACGGCTGCCACATAGCCCAGCATGGAGCAGGGCCCCCACATCAGCACAAAGACCACCAGCACCACAAGGATGAGCCCTGTGTTCTCCTGGTGCTCCTGGATGCTCTCCCCTCTGGGGCCACGAGGCTGTGTCCACATGAGCCAGCCCACGTGGCTGAAAGAGCAGCCCAGCCGGCACATACAAGGCAGGAAGGCCAGGCTCCCAGCAGGGGTAAGTAGCAGGAGGTCTGGGCAGGGCTCGGACGCAGGCCCCGATTCCAGCTGCCCCTTCCTGCACCACCACACTTTGGAACAGCCAGGTGGGCAACGACACGGCGAGGCCCAGGACCCACATGGCCCCACAGAGCAGCAGGCAGGCGCCCCGGCCAGCCGGGAGGGCCACATCAGCCGGGCCACCGCCACGTGGCGCAGAAAAGCCATGGCCACCATGCTGTAGAAGGTGCAGAACAGGGCGCCTGGGTGGCTCAGATGGTTAAGCGTCTGCCTTCGGCTCAGGTCATGATCCCAGGGTCCTGGGATCGAGTCCCACATCGGGCTCCCTGCTCCTTGGGAGCCTGCTTCTCCCTCTGCCTCTCTCTCTCTCTCTCTGTCTCTGTCTCTCATGAATAAATAAATAAAATCTTAAAAAAAAAAAAAAAAAGAAGGTGCAGAACGTGGTGGCGCTGTTGGTGGCCCGGCTGGTGATGCAGATGACAGGGCCCAGCCACCAGTCGGGCCGCAGGAAGCTCAGCGGCAGCACGGGTACCACGCAGGCCAGGAAGAGCAGGTCGGACAGCGCGATGTTCACCATGAGGCTGGTGGTCAGGGCGCGGAGTGGCCGGGAGGCGCCTGAGCTCGGGGCCGCCAGCAGCAGCATCAGCCCGTTGGCCCGCAGCCCCGCCAGCAGGATGAGGCCGCAGAGCCGGCGAAGAGCCGTCGGGGCAGTTGCTCGGGCGCGGCTGTGAGCCCGGCGGCGGTGAACGTGGCCTTGGGCTCCGCCCCCGCTCCATGCTCCCGCTCCGGACACACAAGGACAGTGTGGAAACCAGCCCGAGGCCACCTTCCTCTTTCCCTGGAGGGCCCCCCTCCTTTCACAGCCCCCTGCATCCAGTGGGGGCCCTTGCTGGGAGTCAGTCATGTGAGACCTCACAACAACCCGACAGGACGGCCTCGGTCAGCGCCCCAGGTTCGAATCCAGACTAGGCTACTTAGGAGCTCCGTGACTTTGGGAAAGTTACCCAGTTTCCCCACCTCAGTTTCCTCAACTGTGAAGAAGGAAGGAAATAAAATAAAACAGATGTCAACATAACTGCTACAAAAGGGTGAGGTGCAGGTAATTTTCATTTTCCTCTTTGTAGTTTATTTCTACAATTTCTGCAGGGAGAAGAAATTGAATTTGGGGTGTGTGTGTGTATTTTTTAGATTAATTTATTATTTATTTATTTAGAGAGTTGGGGGAGGGGCAGAGGGAGAGAAGCAGACGCCCTGCTGAGTGCAGAGCCCGATGTGGGCTTGATCTCAAGACTCGGAGATCGTGACCTGAGCCGAAATCCAGAGTCGGATGCTCAACCGATAGCCAGTCGGATAGCCACCCAGGTGCCCTATATATATATATGTTTGTTTTTTTTTAAAAACAAAACCTTGCCTGCCTATGAAACAGGCAGATATAATTTGAGGTTCAGCAAGAAGATGGATATGCAGGGGCTTTGAGAAGGTGTGAAGCCCCTGTCAGGGGTTCCCAAGCTTGTCTGCACAGTGGGATCACCTGGGGAGTTTCAAAAATACTAATCCACAGGTCCCACCCTGGGGACGGGATTTAGCTGGTCTGGGCTTTGGCATTTTCGAAAGATCCCAGAGGATTCTCCAGGGCAGAGCAGCTTGCCCTCTCCAGCTGTGCTGTGCTGGCTAGCAGGCAGGGGCTGGGGGAAGAGCCGCACCCCAGCTTCCTCCTCACCCTCACTCCATCCTACATGCTGAGGACATGGGGAGCCCCCGATTGAGAGGGGTCAGGCTGAGAAATGGGGTCTAGACATCCCCGAGTCAGCCCAGGGGCCAGTATCTCCACCTGCCACCCCACAAACCAGGCCAGAATCCCTAGCTTTCCTGGGACGAGACTTGCCCATTAACTCAATAAATAAATATTTATATAAATATTTACCTTCCTATAAGAAGCCCCCTAACTTCGTGGTGAAGCTTGTGGCTGCTGGGGCCTGGGTTCAAAGCCCCGCTGTACCACTTTCTAGCTGCGTTGACTGTGGACAAGCTACTTATCCTCTGTGCCTCATTTTCCTCATCTGTAAAGTGGGGATAAGCAAGCCCCATCTCCTAGGGTTGATGTGAGGATTAAATGGGGTAGGACAAGTTAGGTGCTCAGAATAGTGCCTGGCACGAAGTAGGTGCTTTATAAATGTGGGCTGTTAGGTCCTGCCCACCCTCAGCTCCAAAAAGCTCTCTCTCCTAACGCCTCTGTCCAGGCTCCATTTAGTCCCCCTGCCCTCCCCTTCTCACTCCACATCCTGAGCCCCATCAGCCCAGTCTGGCCTTCCTTTTCTTAATCAGCCTCAAGCTAAGGTGTGACCAGAGCCCCCTTGGCAGACATGCCCTGAGAACTCACCACTTGCCTGGAAGTTCACTCTGAAATCTACCTTGGGTCCCTCCTGCTGCTCTCACGTGCATCGTGCTGCTCTGAGGTTCCTGGGCCCTGCTTGCTGACTTGGGGGCCTCTGACACCAAGCAGGGCTGGCGGCCCCTCCACAGCTCTGCTCTGCGCAGAAGCTGGATCTTGCCAGAGAAAGCTAAGAGATGGTTCTGGGCAGGTGTGCGGTCCCTTCTCACACCCCACCTCTAGGGAACCTGAGCCGGCTGCCCACAGCTGGGGCAGAGCTGAGATGGGAGGGGCAGGCCCGGGGGACCCCTTCAGGTTCCCCGAAGGACATGGGGGGCTCTATCCGCTCTACTGGCTCCCCCAGGAATCACACCCTGCTTACCTGCCTCATTAACTCGCTGGCCTACAGGGCAGAGATGTTGGGGCCTGCCAGGTCCCCAGACCCCAGAGAGAGCCATTAGCAACAGCGGGACCGGCCCCCCCACCCCCGCCCGTGGCCAGGCATCACTCACTCCAGCCCACCTCTCCCTGTCTGTCTGCCTGTCTGTCTTAGAACCTACTACAGCCTAGAAACTGCTCAGAGCAAGGGGAGGCTTGTGGGCTGACAGAGAGGATCCAGGAAGGGAGAAGGTAAGAAAGAATCCGTGAGGGAGGCCTGTAAGAGAACTAGCTGATCACGAAATCATCCTGCATATTGACTAGAGGCTGAATGGGACCCATTAGGGCATCTGATCCAACCTCAGGCTTCTGACGCCTGAATCTTTTTTACCTTGCCTCTTGGCAAAGTGTCACCCGACTTCCCCTTGTATGCCGCTAACAACAAAGAGCTCACTGCTGCAGAGGTGTCCCTTTCGGAACTGAGCAGGGGGGTAGGGGCAAAGACTGGAGACTGATTAAGCCAGTCGGAAGGCTCTGTCTTCTACTTCCTGCCCTCTCTCTCTCCTGCAGTCTCTCGCTCTGTACCTCTTTCTCTCAAACCGTCTCTGCTTGTCTCTCTGTGAAACTGGGGTTTCCTCTGATTCCCCAGTACTGAGTGATTACTTGTCAGAGTCCTGCACGCACCGGGCTGCAGGACGTGGCGAGCATCATTGCGGTTAACAGTAGGATGACAGGGACAATAGTTGCAGCAAATGTACATGACAGAAGACAGTCCAACAATGAGGGGCCATCTCTCAAAGCAGCCTCCTTAAGGGCACTGAGGACCCCAGCCCGGCTTATAATGGGCAGCCACCTTCCAGGAGGCGAATGGTAGGCGGTTCTGGGAACTCCAACCAAAGCTCCGAAGGGGAGCCCACGAGTGATCTGAATCTAGTTTCTCCACTGCTCCGCAGGCCCCCCCAAACACCCCCCAACCTCAGGGCAGAGGGCTGCACCAGGCAACATCACAACATTAGAGCAGGGTCTTGGGGAAAGGGAGTGGGGTCGGGGCTCAGGGAGACAGGGGTAATAGGGCCTATCAGGGGCCATCGAAACACTGCTCTTCCTCAGGAATCGGATTCTGCTCGGAAGAAACTTGATGCTCACAAACAGGTGGTGAGTGAGACAACGTTCACGAGCTTCGCAGGCACAGAACAGCGGGACTGCTTTAATAAAGCGTCTCATAATGAACAGGTTGCAGCACTTGGTAATCAGCCCCAAAGCAAGCTCCTCGGAAAGTTTCTTTCCCTCCCTCCCTGTGACACTTAGTTATATTTCGCATTATGTAAGGAATACCCAGGCGTTGCAGAAGATCTAGAAATACAAATACATATAAAAAGAGCAATAACACCCCCACACATTCACCCTATGATTTTACCCCACAGGGATGTGTGGCCAATAATATGGTGTGTTTTCCTTAATTCATTTTGACTTTTTCTTTCTTTTGAAAGTTTTTACCACCACCACCACCACTACCCACCACCCCCTCAAATCCTTCAGCGTGCAAAGGGCAGCCTTAGCACAGCCCCTGCCCTGGGATCCAAGTCCTGACCTGAGGGGGATTGTCCTGAACTTCCAGGCTGGCCATCTCTGTCATGGCTGCATCCTGGCAAGGTGGGACAGGAAACCCCAGGGGTGGCTGTCCCCCCACCCCTGGCTGGGCTGGAGGGTCAGAAGCAGCATTCAGCTCTCTTCTGTGGCCTCTTGGGGGTCACCTCCACCAGTGAGTCCTTCAGGCGGTCCTCCTGCATCTTGAGGGCCCTGTGTGATGACACCAGACATCAGTCCTCTGTCTCCCCTTCCAAGGGCAGCAGGGAGGGGCCCGTGGGTGCAGCTGGGGGGCTGGGGGATCGCGCCCCCCGAGCTTCCTCTCTTCCCACTTCCCCTGCCCTTGCGCTGCATCCCACACAGCACCCGAAAAATGGGGCCATGGAGACTTTGGTCTTCTGTCTCTTTCCTAGCATTCTTTCCAGCCTCCTGTGCGCCAGACACTGTGCAAGGGACTCTGAATAGGACAACGAAGCTGGCATGTCCTTGCCTCGAGAGATGAGGAGCCAGAGAGAGAAGGGGCCATCAGAACCCAGGAATGAGGAAGCACACAGAGGGACGTGTCCTCGAAGGTCGTCGAAGGAGGAAGGAGGCAGTGTCAGAGCTGAGACCAAGCAGTGGAGAAGCGTTCGCTAGCAGCAAGGGGAGGTGCATTCCCGGCAGAGGGCAAAGGCTCAGTGAGAGACAGAGAGCTTGGGGGTTGGGGAAATCAAAGAAGCTCATTCATTCATTCGCTCATGATATATTTACTGAGTGCGGACCACTGCGCCGCCGAATCACAAAGCCTAAAGACCGGCCAGAAAGAAGCCTCGAGGCTACAGGGGTTCAGGGCCCCGGGGGCCTGGAAGCCATATTCAGGAACTTGGGCTTTTGTCCTGAAGCAAAGGGAAGCTGTTGAGCAGTTGTCCATCAGAGGACATCACGGAGTGACCAGGTGAGCCGTTTCACAGACTCACCCTGGCTGCTTTGTCACAGAAGGGGCTTCCAGGTCATCCAGCCTAGGACCCCTTCCACCTTACTCATTTCCTTCATTCACTGGGCTCCCGGTATGTGCCAGGCCCTGGGTGTGCCGGGAGGGGGCTGGACAAAACAGACCCGGCCCTGCCCTCCTGGATCCACAGCCTCAGGCAGGAGGCAGCCCCCAACTGGGAGCCGGACAGATGCACGCATAATTACAGTTTGTCCAGAAGGGCTTTGAAGGACACAAACAGGGGACAGGGATCCAGAAGAGTGGTGGGACGGAGAGTGGTCAGGAACGGCCCCTCTGAGGGGCTCAAGCTGAGACAGTGAGTGCACATGTGTGTGCGTGGGGACCGGACCTCCAAGATGAAGGCCATTTCCAGGCGTTTGGATGTTATTCTAAATCTAGTGGAAGATGGGGCACCTGCCTGGCTCAGTTGGAAGGGCATGCGACTCGTGATCTCGGGGTCATGAGTGGGAGCCCCACATTGGGTGTAGAGATTACTTAAGTAAATAAAGAAAAATAAAAAGTTGAAAAAGGGGGCGCCTGGGTGGCTCAGTTGGTTAAGTGACTGCCTTCTGCTCAGGTCATGATCCTGGAGTCCCGGGATCGAGTCCCACATCGGGCTCCCTGCTCGGCGAGGAGCCTGCTTCTCCCTCTGACCCTCCTCCCTCTCATGCTCTCTGTCTCTCATTCTCTCTCTCAAAAAAAAAAAAAAA